CGCCCCCACATATCTACGTCACGATGTGGGAAGATTTGCATAATGCCGCCCAAATGTTCACACAAAGAAAGAATGCGTAACTTAGGCATAGAGGAGAAACAATAATGTACAGTATGTGGAAAATAATGTGTTTTTTGAACCTTTAACACATTTCATTACACCAAATACACAAAATAAGTTATTTTTAGCAACATCATATGACCCCTTTAAATCAGCACAGCCAGCGAGGATCGAACGCAACTTTTTTTTAAAGAACGCAACAGTTTCGAATGAGCGCACCTTTTTTAAACAACAAAATAATGGCTGTTTCATGGTCTGTTGAGGAAGTACAGACGTTCCTCTCGTTGATAGCCGAGGAGTGGATCCAGTAAGAGCTTAATGGGACAACGCGGAATGAAAAAGTTAACGACATGTCTATAATCCCGCCCACTCTAAAGCCATACTAAACTGCAGTGGAAACACAAACCGAGCTGAGCCGAGCCGTACCATGCAGTGGAAAAGTGCCATAACAACCATAGTTAGCTAACGATGCTATTGGGAAACGCACCCCTGGTCCGGAGCAGGTTTTCTTCGTAAACCCAGAGTTTCTTTCGGTCTCCTCCCCCTTTTTAAAGCATAAGTGATGTTTGAATACCTAATTCATTCACGTTGCAAAAAATTATTTTCTTACTGAGTATTGTTTGTCTTATTTCAAGAACAAATATTGAAATATTAATACACGAGAAATGATATAAGGTATTTAGTCTTGTTTTCTGGGGGAAACAAATGCATTTTAAGTGCATTTTATGTAATTGTATAAAAGTACAATTACCCGCTATACGGAAAGAAAAATAATCTTAATGCAAACGGAAGCAAGATTTAAAAATTTTTATATGGTTCTTACCCCATTGGCAGATAATTTGCAAAATTAGAAAAATGCACTTAAATTATTAGTACTTTTTTTTTCCCACAGGAAACAAGACTCTAAATATCTTATGTCACTTTTCTTATGTAGAAAATGCATCTTGATTTAAGAGTCATTAGATATTTTGACTGGAAACAAGAAGACAAAAAATCTAAGTAAGAAAAGCATTTTTGCAGTGCAGGTGCATTCATTCAGTGCACATATTCTCATCATGCAGACACTGTCAAAGTGACAAAAATGGCATGTCCTTTTATACAGGATCCTATAGATGAGGAGACTACATTAATTCATTGGAAGTTTTTTTTCCCACATGCATATGGATTCTTACCTTTGTCACAAGACGGAAAAAGACCATTAAAGAGGAGTAGGTTCGTTAAGAGAATATTTATTAACAGGATTCAGCAGAGAATTAAAATGGCAGGCAACTGATGAGCATTCATGTAGAAAACAAGTAGCAGCTACTTAGCTTGAGTAAACCGTTCAAAAGGATCTCTTTCCATAGTAGAGCACAGGATGATGATGATGATGATGATGATGGTGATGATGATGGTGATGATGGTGGTGAGGTCTGAGGATTGCGGGAAGAAGAGAGATTCCTGTAAGTGTCTTGTATAGACTTCAAGACCAGACAATGAGTGTGAGAAGTGAAGGTGTATATGTACTGGTCTTGATTGGGCGGTGACAGGTGCAGAGGATTAGTATTCAGGTGGATTCTGATAGGGCAATTCTGGATAGGGCATCTGCCCGGGTGTTCTTGGTTCCAGGCCGGTAAGTCACAGAGAAATTGAAGCGAGTGAAAAAGAGAGAGCACACCGGGCTTGCCTGGGGTTAAGGCACTTTTCTCCTCTAAGGTATTAGAGAACCCCCAGGTTACAGTGGTCTGTGATTACCTGAAAAGGATGAATGGCCCCCTCCAGCCATTGTCTTCATTCCTCCAGGGCAAGCTTGATGGCTAGTAACTCTCGATTACCAATATCATAATTTTGCTCCACCGGGGTAAGTTTGTGGGAGAAATAGGTGCAAGGATGTAATTTAGGAGGCCCTCCGGAGTATTGGGACAACACTGCTCCAACACCCACTGTGGAAGCATCCACTTCAACGAGGAAGGGTTGCTGGGGATCAGGGTGTGCTAGGGTAGGAGCGGCGCAAAAGGCTTCTTTCAGCTGGTCAAAATTTCTAAGGGCCTCAGGTGACCAGGAAAGAGTTTTGGGCTTGTCTTTTAACATGGAAGTGAGTGGGGCTGAGTACAAACTGAAATGATTGATGAATCAACGATAAAAGTTGGCGAACCCCAGAAAACGCTGTAGTTCCTTGATGGTTGTGGCCATTCACGGATTGCTTGAACCTTGTTATTGTCCATTTGGATACCTTGTGGACTGATGACGTACCCGAGGAACTGGTGGTACGGTGGAACTCGCACTTCTCCAACATGAGGTTAAGATGGTATTCTCTCAGCTTAAGAAGGACCTGCTCCACGTCTCGTTCCGGGAGTAAATGAGTATATCATCTATATAGACGAACTGATGGAGGTACTTCCGGAACACCTCATTCATAAATCCCTGGAAGATGGAGGGTGAGTTAGACAGCCCATAAGGCATAACGAGATATTCATAGTGGCCAGTAGGGTTGAGGAATGCCGTCTTCCACTCGTCACCTCGGCGAATCCGAATGAGGTTGTAGGCACTTCGCAGGTCCAGTTTTGGAGAAGATGCGAGCTCCACGTAGTTCCTCAAGGGCTGCTGGGACCAGAGGAAGTGGATAGGGAAATTTGACAGTTTGAGAATTGAGTGCCCGGTAATCAATACAAGGACATAGGCCTCCGTCCTTCTTACCAATGAAGAAGAAACTTGACGCAGCTGGTGAGGTGGAAGAGTGGATGAAACCTTGCAGGAGAGCCTCCTCATTATATTCCTCCATAGCTTTTTGCTCCAGGATGGACAAGGGGTATACTCTACCCTTAGGGAGTACAGCGCCAGGCAGCAGGTCGATGGCACAGTCCCATGGCCGGTGAGGTGGTAGGTTAGTGGCATCCTGCTTACTGAACACATCCTGGAACGCCTGGTATTCTGGATGAATGAGAGGTGTCTCCTTAAGTTCGGGGCTCTCAACATTAGTGGAACAGACTGGAATCAGACATGAGGAGGTTGGTGAAATCTTGGGGATACAATTCCGATGACAATATTCCCTCCATTGAAGAACCTCATTGGTGATCCAGTCGATTTTGGGAGAATGTTGGACCAACCACGGGCGTCCCAGGATGATTTCCGCTGTAGAGTTCTCCAGCACCAGGAATGAGATGGTCTCCTCACGAAGACACCCTATGCGGAGCGTGATGTTAGGAGAGTGGAAGCGCACCTTGCCTTTGCCCAGCGGTTTTCCTTGAATAGTGATGATATTTAATACTTGAGAGTTGGTTTTCCATTTCAACTGAAAGTGATGTAACATAGTCAATGAGATGAAGTTCCCGGAGTCGAGGAGGGCTTGAGCTGGAAGAGATCGGTGAGAGGAAATTAATTGTACGGTCATACGAGATAAGGAGGTTATCTGAGGTTTAATTGGAGGGTACTCACTGCTGGGCGTGGAGGTCGGACAGGGCAGGTGCTGAACAAATGTCC